TAACTCTTTTAGCTAACTCTAATAGCTTTAGGCCCCACAAAACCCAGATCCATCCCTAGTAGTGGCCTATACGTTCTCTCTTTTTTTTCGCTGTTAATATTCTTTAAACTAGGCTTAAGTAATATTCGTCCATGAATAGAAAAACTAATTGAAAAGAAAAGTTCCAATATATCTCACTAAGAAATGCATGTCCAATAAAATTCTACTTTTTAAGTTTAGAAGTAAGTGGTCATTAAACTATGACTGCATAACAGAGTAAAGATTTGTAGAAAAGGCTTTAAGAAAAATTAGATATTTTAAAAGACTGAATATTAAAAATATTTTAAAGCTTTGGTTGAACATTTTGTTTAAATTTTACAATACATTTAAAAATTTAAGTATCAACTTAAAAAAGCATTTTTTGTTCAAGAACCTATCAGACATGAAAGAACTCATTTGACACTTAAAAATACAAAGCATTAAACTATGCACTAAGCTATTAAATTTAACCTATAAAAAGAAATTGAAGTAAAAATGAAGGGATTTCTAAACTTCAGATAAATAAATGTTTTTTTTTTTCCAAAAGATACTGGTTCCTGACACCTGCCACGGAAACGAAGAGGCAGCCTGTGGGAACCACGGCGTGCGGTGTCGCTGCGTCCTGAGCCCCGTTGCTATTTTAGACAGGCCTGACCTGCTCTGAAAGGCGAGCTGGGGCCCTCTCAGGCGGCCGCCCAGCTCCCAGCTCCTGCCTCCACAGTCTTTGGTTTTTATGATTTTTACTTTGTAACAGTTCCGTCCTGTCTTGCAACCATCATCCTGTACTTGCTTGTCGTAGTTCTAAAAGCAAATGAATTCTATGGCCAAACCCAGTCCTCTTACCACGGCTCCTCGATTCCTGAGTTTTCACATTAATCAAAGCTTAGTTGGCCAGGTTTTATTGTCTAGTTTTTCTCCCATGAAGGGCTCGTGGTTGATATATTCTCTAAGGAAGGCAGTTGGAAGGCAGACAAAAGTGTTACCACCAATTGTTAAATGTCCAAACAAATGGAACAGAAATAGAAAATAAGTTAGATATACTAAAGGAAAATTTGCTGACAATGAAGAATTGTATCAAATAATGGACAGAGCAGTTAGAACAAGAGACAGAGACATGTGGTTGTTATCAGAGCAGCTCGCTTTTTATGCCTCTAAGCCGGAGGGAAATATAAACTCACCCACACTCGGGAGAAGAGCTGTTTACCAGATTAACACATAGCAGAGACTGTGATACCTGCTATTGGCAAGGGTGTGAGTGGACAGGTGCATTCATAAACTGTTCGAGAGATTATAGATGGGATTGACCTTTCAGGACGGTGGTTTGGCTACGCCTACCCAAACCTCCCGGTTCCCTGGCCACCCAGGCGAGCAGCCATGCTTGGGCATGACACATCGTCACTCTGCCTGCGGCATTTGGAAAGGGACCCGTTTCCTCTCTCTGTCTCACGTTTCTTCCTTTCCAACTTTATTCTCCATGTCACTAGTAGGATTTAAAAATTTTTTGTTATGAAATTTCCCAAGCACTTGAAAAGTTAGAGCAGAGCATGAACTTCCATGGGGTCCAGTCTCAATGCCGATCAATGTTTTATCTTTTATCTCCTCTACAGCTGGCCCCTTCCTTCCTTTTTTTGTCAGAGTATTTCAGACAGATGATCAGTTTGGTTCTTTTTATAAAACCAGATAGCTAAATCCTATCCCTACAGACTGGAGCCCGTTAGTGATTGAAGGCTTGTGTCCCTCCACATTCGCATATTTAAGCCCTAGTCCCCAACGCGATGGTGTTGGACAGCAGCCAGCGCAAACCAGGAAGAGCACTTTTACCAGGAACTGAATTGGGCCAGCACCTTGGCCTTGGGCTTCGCAGCCTCCAGATGTGGGAGACGATACATTTTTCAGTTAAGCCATTCACCGTGGTATTCTGAGAAGGCAGCTGGGCCTGACTAACACAGAGCCCATGCCTCATGATTCACCCCCTTACTCATTTAGTCTAGATGTGTCCCCTCTCAAACGGAGCTGCCCACAATCCCCAAGGACTTAGTTTCCTGAAAACCAGCTGATTCTCAGTCTCCAGGCCTTTGGATCTTTATACCCACCCTGAAGACCCTCCAGCTCCCTCCACAGTTCCACCTGGTGTCTGGTGAATTCCTGGTCACCTTTCAATGTTCAGGTGAGACATGTCCCACATATGTCCCGCAGGGATTTGACAGCTATAAGAGAACACACGTTCTTCCCCGGTGAACACCCACCTTCACCCCTTCCCCAGCCAGCGAGCTCCTGTTATCGCCCTCAGGGCCTGTTACCTCGCACCGCAAGCTTGCCTCCCTTCCTGGGGAGAGGTGGTCTTTATCTTCTCTGAAAGCATGGCCCCACCCTGGGCCCTTTAAGAGGCATTTACTGTCCTGTTTGCTAGAGACCCGTAAGAGTGAAAATTGCTCTAGAAGAAGCAGCACTTTAGCTATTGTTTCAGATCCCTTCTAGACTAAGGGCAAGAGGAGGAAAAAGGAATAGAGGGTCAGGGAGAGGAAGAGGGAGAACCAGGGGGCTGGGCACCTGGAACACGCCCCTTATTTAGTCTTTTCTCTAGCTGGCTCTTTCATTTGACTCGATAGTCTAGGACGAGCCTTTAATACTGGAGTCCACAAACTGCAGCCTCTTAGAGAAGCCCTGCTCTCTGCCTCTGTGTAAGGCCCACAGAAGTGTCCAACACCGACGGGATGCATGCGGTTGAGCCTAAAATATTTACTATCTGGCCCCTTATAGAAGAAGTTCGCCACTCCCTGCTCTCTGGGAACAAACTGATTTGGTAGCATTTATGTCCCCCGCCACCTCCTGCAGGTGCCGTAAGTACTGTGCTGTTGGTGAGCTCATTTCATAGACCTCGGACTGCTTCCTTGTGCCAGGCGGGGCGCTGGGTCAGACAGCGCTGGGGCGCAAGCCACCGGGCACATTCTGGTTCTGAATGCTAGAGAGACAGGCAGGAGGACAGGAACGGTTCAAACACAAAGCACATGCCTGGGAGCAGAATCAGAGCCACCCGCCTCCCAAGTCATCTGTCGATTTTCAGTTATTAGCCAGCTGCTGGGAAACATCAGGGTAAGAATCTGTTAACAGGCCAGGACTGGACTTGCGAGTTACACGCCATCCCCTCCAGCCCACAGGGATTTGACAGCTATAAGAGAACACATGTCTAGAGAGATGCCAGAGTGCAGGTGACAGGAAAAATATGTATTAAAAAAAGACAAAATAGCTGCCTACTTTATTTAACTCAACCCTATTAAACTGGTTAAGAAAAAAATCTTGCAGAAACAAAAGCAAGACGAGTGTTCACAAATCACATGTGATCCATGAGCTCTGTTTCTGGAAACCCACCTCAAGGAGACGAAACGCAAAACGAGCCAGGCTCACACTGCCGCTTCTGGCAGCGCTCCGCCAAGGGCAGCGCGGGAAGCGACACACATCCCACACTGCGCGCTGCGGCCACCACGGCACTGCCGCCAGATGGGGCACGGAGGGGTCGTTAGTGACAAGGAGTCTGCAGCACACACCCGCCTGGTGCTTCCTATTGTTGCTTTTCGAGCCTTTTCAGTGGCAAGAAGAGAGAGGACCAAAGTCTCAGGAGACTGAAAGACATCCCCGCAGGACTGGTTCCAAAGGGAAACTTCATGCAAATTAAAATACACTCACAGTCATTTTTACATACAAAGACTTTCAAATCTGTGGCATCAACAGTCCAGGGAAACGTGCTCTGTGGCTTCACATCCTATTTTCCCCGCCGCCCCTGAACATCATTACAGGCGTTCCATGGGCCAAACAAGCAGGTTATTTAAAAAACGAAAAACCCAGCAGGACAGAAAACCATGTACATTTCATGGTTACTTGTAACTAAAGTCACCTCCACTGGGGACCACATGTAAAATGTTAATGGCTGGGTTAGCGTAGTGTATTTTAGGTAATCTTACTATTTTCCATTTTCCCTTTGGTAATGTGGTTTTAGTACTTTCATAATAAAAAATGTGCTTAGAAGACTTGCTGAGTTGCTAAGCCTCTTGGGTGGTAAGAAAATCTGAGGCAGACAATCACGGTGCTCGTTTTCAAGACTGTTTTCAATTTTGGTATTCTTACTTGGACTAATTTTAAGAAATGCAGGATTACAGGAATGTGAATCATAAGGTACAAATCCACTGTTTGCTGTCAGTTGATTGGAAGCCAAGGACCAGAACTCATAGGAAATGAAAACGAAGCCCATAAACAAGGGAGGTGTGAGAGCAAAGCCAAACAAGAAACCGCCCTGTACGGGCAAACGTCTCACGGAGGCTGTGAGGTGTTGCCCCGAGGGATGGACACTGTCTTCTAGCTCAGCTCCCAGTCTGCACCCCTTATCTGATGTGTCACTTCCTCTGAGCAGTGTGCTCACTTCAGACCCACAGGGTGCCTGGGGCAGGTACTGCCCAACACACACGCAGGCGTGGATCATTTTGAGGGATGGAAGGTTACCCTGCATCCCTAGCTAGTTCAGCTGTTGGCTGTGGCCACCTGGACCCTATAAAACATCCACCTCTCCCTACTCCCACCACTGAAAGCTTCCGAGTTTACATTAAAACCTAAATCAAGTGAACAAAAGGATTGTTCCTTCTCTGATGCTATAATTTTATTTCTTTGAATGCAGTAAGTGAAATTAGCAAACTCCTACTCCTAATTTATTAAGACCTAGGTATAAAATGAGAAACCACCATCCCATTTGTCAACACTTAGCTGGTAGCCCAGGTTAACACTAAACCGACCGGGGGCTCTACAGAGAACCACACTGCTAGGAAGCACCTACATTTTCTAATTTTATGAATGTGTCTAGTGAGCTTGAAAGAAAAATTCCTGGCACACGTTTCTAAATACACGTTGAATGAATGATCAACACTGTGTTGCTAAATCACCCTTCACTGTGAAGGTGTAAAAAGGGAACCAATTACACACTCCAGGCCTCGTGACTTGAGTGCACTTTATTTTGCAGCCAAGAACACAGCAGACAACGTAAGGGTGATCATTAAACTGTGCTCAGTGGCGGGGTGACTCTCGTCCGGAAGAGGGCTGAGGCATCCTGAATCTCGAGAGGTCCAGGTTCAGGTCTAAGAAGGTGTACGCGGTGTAGTCATGATGCTGAAGGTTCTTGTAGGTAGTGTTGTCAAACGGCTCCGGGGGAGCGGCAGCTTGTGTGGGAGCCGTGGCTTGTGTGGGCTCTGCGGGGGAAACACATGCGGTGAGCACATCAGACAAAGAGCTGCTTTGTAATCCTGTGACGAAGTGTCTAGAAAAGCCCATGAAAGCAACAGTATCTTCAAAACCAAAATCAAGAGATTAGCTGAAAACCTATTCTAAAACACGCAGCCTTAATAATGTAAGAAATGGAGTAGTTATCGTAACATCTTAACTTCATGCACTTCTATACTCTGGCCTCCCCAGAACTTTGGAAATGCCTAAAAGGGTTACGGTGGGACTTTCAGGTCACATAAAGATGCAGGAAAATAATGAGATCTATAAGAAATCTGTCCATAACAGAAATAAACAATTAACTTCAAAAGCAGAGTAAGTCTCTGAACACAGATGATGAGATAAACTCCAACCGTTTTAGTAACAACACAGTTAAGGCGTAGTGGAAATGGGATGTGTAGTTTTTGTTTTAACTTTTTTGGGAAAAGTTGGTGGTATACTTTAGACTCATAGAGTTAAAAAAAACAAAACCCCAAACTAATTTAGTTTTATTTTCTTAAGTGGGGGAAGGAAAAAAAGAGCTAAAATCCACACATCTAGACATTAGGTAATCTTAAAACTAAAAGTGTGTGGTCCAAGAGAAAGAAATATTGCTCCAGCAATGTGGAGTGCACGACAAAATGACGGCAGGAGAAAACTTGCGCGAGACGCTGGCTCAGGTCTGGGCTAAGTTCTCACAGGCTCAGACTTCTGTCACTTGGGCTCTCTCCGCTTCTACTCACGCTGCACAAATTATAACTTAAACACATTCTCCCACTATGTGAATTCATACCAAAAGGCTTTTTTTTTTTTTTGCTATATTAAACAAAAATGATGTCTAAAGAGCTGACATCTTTCCAATCTCCACGAGCAGAATATCTTCGATGTGGAAGAGGGGAATCTTTACAGTGAAGGTAAATGTGGGTATAGAAAGCGTATCAAAAACCGATACCCATGGAGGCACAGAGCCAGATGGACTTGGGGACATTTTGGTCCACCACACAGCCACAACCGCTGAGCTCCTGTGTGGCATCGTTCTCCTCCAAAGGGCAAAGGGAATATTGGAAGATTCCCACATCCATGAAAAATCAGAAGCAAAGTGTGTTCAAAAAGGTCTGCACTCTAAAAACCCCAACTCCTGTTTTCCTCCCAAAGGTTTTGGTGCTCCTCTCCACTTCACAGCAGAATGACGGAACCAGGGGTGTTGGCAGCGCAGTCCTTGAGGTCTTGAGCAGTCTGGGAAGCTCTGGCACTTTGCATAGTAATGACAAACAGAAACAGGTGGGAAGAAAACACGTAAACTCTGTCAACATAAGGCAACTGATAACAATAATGACCTGGTAACGTAAATGAGGCAAAAGGGAGATTTTAAAAAGAATCAAGAGCAGACAGGAAGGAGCTGGGTTTGTTAGTAATAGTAATGCCTTTTAAAGATGTTTGAAGAGACACAGATCCTAAAATCAGAGACCTCCTTGACTGTTTGGCCATGACCTACCTAATACACTCTTCGTTTATCAAGTTCAATGCACAAGAAAATGGTAACATAATAGGAACAAACAGCTTCCCCTTAACGGTGGTAGCAAAAAAGCCCTTCATAAAAATTCATTATAGAAAAAGAAAGCAACCCACTGTGCTTTTGAAGTGAGGCAGAAAAGGAAGCGTCCAGTGAAAAGATTTACGTGGTCCATGGCTGCCTTCCAGGCGCTTACTACCCAAACTCCTGAAAGCAGGTTTTCCCTTAGGCATGAGGATGCTAAAGGCATCGCCTGTTAGCTCACCTGCAGACCACCAGACCGAGTGTAACTATTGCCCTTCACATTAAACAGGCTGCTCTGCAAGTTCATGGACACTGGCCACTGGCCACCCTCCCCAGTTAAGGGGGATGTGTTAAACTGCCAGTTTTCAAAATTATACTGATTCGTGAACAGCCAAGAGTGCCAAGGGCCTACTCTTTCATTGTAAGATAAATTTAAAGTGTTTTAGGGATTTTGTGTATGAGGTGCGCATGATTCATAACTCAGACTCTGCTGCTTATCTGAGGCAGTGCCGATAGGCTGTATTTCTACTGCAGAACCTGATTAGTTGCGCTGCTTCCTTACATCCCACAGTTCTTCAGTCTAACCACCCCCGGAGGACAAGGAGAGCTCTCGACAGTCAAGGTATACCCTGTGTGCCGTCCTGGTCTCCTGCTTGGGCTGCCGAGTCTTCAACGATTTCACCCTTTGCCTCAAGCTTTAGAGCTGCTGTCTTTTCATCAAAAAAGTCTTTATTATGAACAGGAACTGGCTTCAAACTTGTTATTCGTTCCTGATCTTCCAAAATCTCTTCATTTGCCTTTGAGATTCCTTCTATGACCTGCTTCCCCAAATTTTCTTTTCTGAACGGGGAAAAGGCCACCTCCCCACTCGTCTCTGGCACTTGTTTTTCTAACTGTCGTCCTCTGGTCTCAGGCGTTGCTTGCAGCTGTCTTCCCGCAGCGGTTTCTTCTGTCAGTCGAGGAGGCACTGGGGCACCACTTGGCTGTGTAGATGATCCTGACTTTGTATGGTCAGAGGAGATATCTGTAACTTCAAATGGCTTTTGACTTTCTTTCTTTATTTTATTCGAGCTAAATATTTCCTGCCGTTTTTTTCCCTTTACATTTTGCTTCATAAATTCTTCATCTATTTGTGACTTGGGTGCTGCAGGTTTTGGTTCGTCTTTTCCGACCTTTAATGGCTTAATGGACGCCCCTTTCTTTGCCTGACGGGGCCCCTCTGCAGAGGGGAGGTCCTGACGTGGCTGTGGTGACCAGGCCTTCTCTCTTGCTGACACCGAAATTTTGGGAGCTCGATTTTCAAAGGGAGGGGAGGCCTCTGGTTTGGGGACCCTTCCGGTGACTCTGCTCGCCACTGGAGAGCCGATTTCTGAGCCACCCCCCTCCTCGTCAGACTCTGAATCAGAGGAGCTGGAGGAAGATGAGGATGAACTGTCCGTCATTCTCCCGCTCGTTGCAAGGGCTTCTGAGTAGATGCCCTGCTCTCTGAACGAAGATGGAACTTTCTGAGGAAACTCTACCAAAGTCTTTCTTGACAAAGGCTTTGGAACCCCTTCATCTGTGAACAGCCCGCTGCCATCAGCGTTAGGGCTAGCTACTGTCCCACCTTGCTTCACAACTGATGAGTAAGAACTGGGTGAAGTTAACTTTTTAGACAATTCAGCTGCTCTTGGGGTAGTTAGTGGCTTGCCCCTCTCCTTTGGGTCCACTACATCTAGGAAATGGCATAAAGAGGAATATTATTTTTAATATTTAGTAAAACAACCTAAATGCATCAAAATCACAGACATTTCATCGTACACCAACTGGTCATTTATAGTATCTTCAACGTAACCATCCTAAGAAATGTTTCAGGGAACCACCCTTAAGTGAAAGCCAAGCCACACGAGAGAGCTGGAAGAAACGTAGGTGCTTTTCTTGGTAACTGGACATTTTTTAAATGGGGATTTTTAACAACAGAAAGAACAAACTTGTCTACATTTTTCAAAAGAGGCCTTCTTTGATAGTTATATTTAAACTATTTCATCCAAATTTAAGATAAACTAGAATATGAAAATATTTTCAGATGACTATGAAGCTTTACAAATGGATAACTGCTTAAAACCCTGAAAAACTAGTGCTTCTCAAATATTAAAGAAATTATCCATGTTGTAGGTACTTGAACTTTCTGAACAAAACAACAAAGCAAAAGTATTCAAAAGCCTGGTTTGGGTCTGGGGTGTGCATACCCGTATGTTTAAGAGTGGGGGAAGGGGAAAATGTAGTTCAAATGAGGTTCCCCTAGGAGGAAGGAAAGTCCTTCAAGATCATAAGCCATTTAGGGATTTCTTCAACAAAGGAAAGCAGAAGTATTATAAGACCACAAAAGTCTAAAATGATTTAATATCATATATATCACTGGAAGCAACAGGTTTTACATTATAAAAAATCGAGTTAAGTGCAAATACGACTTATATTTTGTCAATTATAAAAAATATAAAATCACACAGTATATTGACTAGGGCTCATTTCAATTTCCTCAGGTGGTAAATCTTTTCTAACTATACAGTTTAGAAAAAAAAAATGGGACACGTTTTTATTAAGTTAAAGTTACTTTTCAAATCTAAAGCAAAATTCAAAAAATATTACAAATCAACAAACTCTAAATCCAGTCTTTATTTTCAAGTCTAGGAGTCTCTTTTATACTAAAAAGATCTCAATCCTACTTCTTTAAAGTGGAAGAAATGTATTCCTAGCATTACTATCTTACCAGCATCCAAAAAAGTTTTTAATAGTTTTCTGAGCTCAGGGACCTATATAGAACAGAATGACAGAAAATGATGAAAGAAAACTGAGGATTAACCAAAACCCAGAAATGGGCCAGAAAAGTTAATGGGCGGTGTACAGAGATCTGAGCGAACAGCCACAGCAGGCGTGACTGCTGGAAACTGTCACCTCCACTTCCGTACTGGCCTCATGCCATGTCTGGTCCTGCGGCTATGTGCCAGCCCAGAACCTGCCCTCTGACTGCCCAGAGCACGTGCTGATGCACGTAACCCTCAGAACTCACCCAGAACTCCAAGAGTGTGTTAAACGTACCCGAGGCAAAGAGGTGCATACACACTTGAACTCTCCCTTTCTCCATCTCTCTAACCCACATGAACAGAGCTCAGAAACCCCTGACAGCAGTGTATGAGATCTGCTGGCGCCAAGCCCGAGCGCCTGCTCACCTGCACTATTAATCCTATGTTGAGCCTAACTTTTCCAAGTATAAAAAATTAATTTATACAACATAAAAAAAAAAAAAACCCGCCCCCAACCCTCAACAATCCAATTAAAAAAATGGACCGAGTACCTGAATAGACACTTCTCCAAACAGGACATACAGAGAGAGACAACAGACACATGAAAAGATGCTTAACATCACTAATCACCATGGAAATGCAAATCAAAACCACAATGAGATACAACCTCACACCTGTCAGAATTGCTATTATCAAAAGAGAACAAATAACAAGTGCTGGTGAGGATGTGGAGGAAAGGGAACCTTCAGGCACTAAAAGACATCGCTGTATGATTTCACTTTTATGTGGAATCTAAAAACCAGAACAAACTAACAAGCAAGATGAAACAGAAACAAACTCACGGAGAAGAAATGGTGGTTGCCCTATGGGAGGGGGATGGAGGGGTGGATGGAAAAGAGGCAGGGGATCAAAAAAAAGGTACCTTAAAATAAGGTTTCTTTTAGATAGGCTGCTTTGAGTAGAAAAATTATGCCTGAATCTTCCAAAATTTGTTGTGAAGTTTTTTAAAATTGTGAATACGTTATTATTTACAATTACATTATAGGTTGATGCATTACCTACTGAAAATGGAAGAAAATTTCAAATGAGATTAACAATGATATAATTCAGAAATTTTGTTTGAAAAAGAAACTTGTCATACAAAAAAGAATGCTTTCAAAGCAGGGATGTTCAACCTTTTGGCGTCTCTGGGCCACACTGGAAGAAGAGTTGTCTTGGGCCACATGTTAAATACACAAACAAAAACTGATGAGCAAAAAAAAGGTCCATGCATAATTTTCGTGATATCCGCTACCTCAGATAAACAAAAAAGTCCTCACGTAATAACCCTAATTATGCAGCAGTACTTTCAATAACCTTTTAAAATCATTGAGCAGGTCTCACGTTTGTGATCACTAATATAGAAAATGTTCGTATCTAAGTAATAAAACTAAGCAGTGCTTTAAGTAAATTCACGATTTTGTGTTGGGCCACATTCACAGCTGTCCTGGGCCGCACGCAGCCCGCAGGCTGGACACCCCTGCTTCAAAGTCTCCTTTACTCATGTTAGGTTGTCGGGAGGATTCCACGGAAAGGCTAACAGACTGACTAGAGCACCCTGCTCTTTACTGAGAGTCCGTTTCTGACCCGCAGCAGCCCAGCCCAGCACCCTGTGTGGGTCGGAAGGAAGCTTGCCGCCAGGACCTGGAGCTGCCCCTGGTAACTGCTGAGCCGAAGGGGCAGCGCCCACACCACGTCTGCAGTCAGTCCGTGCAGAACGATGTCCCTGGAAGGCAGCACTGTCACAGAGAGGTACAATGGCTCTCGCTTTGCGTATGAACAGGACTTTACCTGCGTATTTTCATGAAATCTCTGATGTTTGTCTAGAGGCAGGATGCTGACATCCCTGACAGTGTTTTAGTTTGGCAGTGACTTTCCTTGAAAGACAAATGTAATAAAGCACGCCCACCGCTGGCAGGGGTTTAATCTGGCAATGTGCTACCTGTGGGTGCAAAGCACGTCTGTGTCTCATGCTTCCCAGTCACTGGTGCTTTGGGAAACACTAACGCCTGCACACGTCGATTTAGAACCGTAAGTTACCTCTTCGTATAGGGATTACTATTTTTTAAATTCTGATACACAGATTTAACGTGTTAAGATAGTGCAGTTCTGAGAGCTGCCCATGCACACATCACATCTCTCATCACCACCCACCCATCTCCCACGGACCCAGCGAGGCCGGCATGCTCGCTGGCCCCATTCAGGCACCAAGGGACCGAGGCTCGGCGCCTGCAGGGCTTGCTGCATCCGGAGGCAGAAGCTATGAATCTAAGACCAACTCCCAGTTCAGTGGACCTGTCTCATAACTGCACCCCAAACTGTCACAGGATGAAGCACCCCATTTCCACTCATATACAGAAGCATGTTTCTAAAAGGGGCATCTTTGGCTCTGCCATGGTATTTTAAATTCCATTAATCCAAGCACATAAACCTATAAAGCAGGAATGCAGATAAAAGACAAAACTGCACCAAGGCCTGCCCTGGCTCGTGTGGCTCAGGTCTGAGTGCCAGCTTGCAAACCAAAAGGTCGCTGGTTCAATTCCCAGTCAATGCACATGCCTGGGTGGTGGGCCAGGTCCCCAGTAGGGGGTGTGTGAGAGGCAACCAATCGGTGCTTCTCTCCCTCTCTCCCTTCCTTCTCCTCTCTCTAAAAATAAAAAAAATAAAATCTTAAAAAAAAACAAAACAAAAAACTTCACCAAGGCCAAGGATAGATAACACTAGGAATGAAACTCAATACTCATTCATCAGTAAAGAGGATTAGGAACATGCCAGGCACAATACAAAATTTAGCTGACATTCTTATAAATGTGTTTTAGGTGTGATAATGGTTATTACAGCTATGCCCATAAATAAAAAAATTTTAAAAATCCTTATTTTAAAGCTTATGGATTAAAAAAAAGAGAGCACCGATTTAAAAACGAAGCAGGTACAGGTGCCAGGGACCAAAGACACCGCCAGGAACATTTGTCTCCTCAGTTGAGGCCACTGGTGTGTGAATGGCAGCTGGCAGAGTACCAGTATGTTACAACCTACTCATGCTTTTGTGTGCAGACCATGGAGGGACAAAACAATATAAACACTTTCAAACTGAGAAAATGGTATTTTCTTGAAAATAAGACAAATTTGCCCTAGCTGGTATGGCTCAGTAGACTGAGCGCTGGCCTGCAAACCCAAGGGTCACTGGTTTGATTCCCAGTCAGGGCACAAGACTGGGCTGCAGGCTACGTCCCCAGCAGGGGACACATGAGAGGAACCACACATTGATGTTTCTCTCTCTTTCTCCCTCCCTTCCCCTCTCTAAAAATAAATAAAAAAATCTTTAGAAAAAAATGCAAACTGAAATTATCATTCTAAACCCAATATGAATTTTAAAGATTTGCCACATAAATTTTTTAAGATTCAACTAAGATTTCATCAGTTGAGACTAAATGCAATGGACCTGGATTACAATCAATTAATAATGAATGGGTATGGAACATAAAATTCTCAGAAAAGAAATATTTAAAACATGCTGTTGAAAACAAAATAAAACCAAACAGCCCTGGCCAGGTGGCTCAGGTGGTTGCAGCATTGTCCCATACACCAAAAGGTTGTGGGTTCAATCCCCAGTTGGGACAATTGATTGATATTTCTCCCTCTCTGTCACCTCCACTTTCCTCCATCTCTAAAATCAACAAACATATCCTCAGGTAAGGATTAAAATTAAATTAAAATTAAAAAAATAAAACAAAACGAAATATACTGTTGCTTTTCCTCTTTTCCTTCAATGAGGATATGCTACATTGATATTCAGGGGGCGAGTAAAATAAAAACTGGTAATAAAAGTCAAAATGACTGTGCAAAGAGCTGGAAACAAAGCAGACATCATGCATGTTCCATTAAAGTGAGTCACAACGAAAAAGGATGCCTGCTCTTAACTCTCTTCACAGTCACAAAATAATGTCTGCAACCCTGGACTACGGCTGAGCAAAGCCTGGGACCCAGAGATGAGTCCCAAACTATTGGGGGAGAAAAGTCACAATCAGGGGAAGAAAAGTAAAGTGGGATTCATTGGGAGTACAGGGTCTGTATTAGGGCCATCTAATACCCAGAACCTTTATACTCTGCATCCCATTCAGGGCTAAATGTCGACTGTTACATTACTGGTATGTTTGGTCTAAAATCTGTTACGGATCTTATGTCTGATTATTACCTGGATGCTGCTGGAAATAAAGGAGCATAAATTATGTAGCTAGTAAAACTTTTTATTCCTGGGAAGCTCACTGATTTATCTGCATTCTCTTCACCTATGATTACAATTAACATCTTACTTTTTGGTGAACTTTGCTTCTTGGAACTCGGTGGCAGTCCTTTGTCACTCTTTCCAGATTCTGCAGAGAGAGAAGCTGTGGGAGCAAGTCCTCGAAACACTTGTCCTTCTAGGAGCACAGTCTGACAAAAGAATTAACAAATAAGGATATTTTAGGAATCTAAAGAAAAAGCAAAATTGAAACAGACTCATAGACACAGACAATGGACTAGCAGTTGCTAGAGGAGAGGGAGGTTAGGAGACTGGGTAAAAGAGGTGAATGAATTAAGAAGTTATAAACTGGTAGTTACAATACAGTTAACAGGGATGCTACATACATCATAGGGAATATAGTCAGTAATATTACAATAAATATGTATGTGCCAGGTGGGTACTGGAAATATCAGGGGGAACATTTTGTAAAGTATGTTTGATTGTCGAACCACTATACCGTATACCAATATAATATTGAAAGTAAACTTTAATTGAAAAATAAAAAATAGCCCTGGCTGGTGTGGCTCAGTGGATTGAGTGCCAGCCTGCATGTTGAAAGGTTGCTAGTTTGATTCCCAGTCGGGGCACATGCCTGGGCTGTGGGCCAGGTCTCTAGTTGGGGGAATGTGAGAGGCAACTGACTGATGTATCTCTCACACATCGATGTTTCTCTCCCTTTCTTTCTCCCTCCTTTTCTCTCTCTCTAAAAATAAAGTCTTTAAAAAAGAAAAATAAAAATAATTTTCAGAAGGATATTTTAGTGAAATACTACTTGCAACAGCTATTACTATATATGAAGATTATGTATTATTATTACATATGAATGTTTCCCTTTGAATTCACATGGCATATTTCTAATGATTACAATTTTCACGATACATGTATATTGAAGAAATTATGGGAAATACAAAAAAGCTGCAAAAAGAAAAAAACACCTGAGTTCAAGCACATGCACTATTAACATCTGGTTACTTCTCCAACCAGACTTTCTTCTGTGCATACTATTTTGTAGTCTCCAATTAACTGTTAACCTACAAAGTAGTATGATTCCTTTTGTAAAATGTTTTTCTATACTTATAAAGTAAATTAGAATAAACACTACTAAAAAATGATGTTGATGAATAAAAATTGCTTCAAAGTTGTTTACAATATATCCTAAATAGCAAGCATTTTATAAACTGTTGATTTATTCAGCACATATTTACTAAGATCTACTGCATGGTGGGCACTGTTCAAGACGCTCCGCATAAGAACAGAGGTGACTTCAGTGCATACATGAAGGGGAAATTATTTTTTGTTTGTGACTGTAATCACGTGTGTATATGTATATACGAAAGCAGAAAAACTCGTTTGCAACTAGATACTTTAAGAAGTAAACAGACTCTCTGACAATAGATTCTCCATCTGAACTTTGTTATTTATCAATGGATAATTATTGCTTATGTAATAGAAGCCTTTTTAACCTTTAAATATAGTGAAATGGCCTTAGGTTTTATATATGAGGAAAGAAAGCCTTTCTTTTCACAGCCCAGGTAATGTAAGCTGGCTTCTTAGTAGCTGCGAAAAAAATTACCGCGTCAAACCAGGCACCCAGATATTCCCTTATTACTTCTCCTGCTTCAGTAAGTAAAGACGCAGTCCTGAACGGTTCTGACAGAGCACAGCTCCGCATGCCACCTGGGAACCCCGCACACCCGAGGCTCCCTAGGGGATTCGGGTTCAGCGGGAGCCGGGCTGGGGTCTGGAGTCCCTTCGCCCGCCCCTGCCCCCGGAAGCCTGCCCCGGCCATACACCTTCTCCTAAGCCAGAGTGCGGAGTCAATGCTTCCCCCGCCCGGCTCCCCTATACCTTCAGTGCCCTGGCTCGTCCTTGCCGGAACAGAAGGAAAGCAGCCATAGCGGTGACTCGGAGGAAGACCTCGCGAGGGGCGTGCCGGGAGGATATCGCAACCGGGCACAGGCGACCGCTGCGCGCGCACCACCGCCTGAAAGCCCGCCCCTAGAACTTAGGGCACCAATCACAGGCAGGGACAAGCGGGTAGCAGCCGCTGCGCGTGCACCACCCGCTGAGTACCCGCCCCCTGGGAGGAAAGCCCTTGTAACTGGAGACAGGAGCCCGGGAGGCAGGAGAAAGAGTGCGGAGGCGTGGTCCTGCGCGCGCACCCCAGCCACCCCTGGCTCTCTGCCAGACTTCCTGAGGCCGTGCTCCTTTGCTGTTTACAGGCTGGTGTTTCTCGCGGCCCCGCGGCTTTGGAGCAGGGACACGTCCTTGTCAGTCTGTGCGGAGAGCGGACCCGAGGTCTTCGGTGTCCTTTCCGAAGGTGCACAGCTTCAGACAGTGCCCGGCGCTTTTCTGGCTACAGTTAACAGTCCTATAATGTTTGGTGGGCTTGAAGCACCTCTGCACGTTAAGTCCGTCCCGCATTACGTGCCCAGCCTCCCTTCGCTGGGCCGCGTCAGGTCAGATACCACCCCCCATCGGTGTAGTCTTGTGTGGTCACCCCTGTGCACTGCCCCTCGTACAGAGTGACCTTGGACGGGATGGTGGACGCCCTTTTGATAATGCTGGAGCCAGGCAGATCAGAAATGCAATTTATTTTATCTGAATGTTTATAGCTATCAGAGCATATGTTCCTCAAAATTTGGCATAATCATGGTGTAGACGTAGTTAGCAATCGCCTTCGTTCTCCCCTATTCATCATGTCTCCCCGACCGCAGTCCTGCCATGCACAGTGACCTTAAGTATCACATCCAAGTTGAACGTCCCTGCACTAATAACTTCACTGGGCTAGGCTAGAGATTCATTCAGGTGGCAAGATAAACAGGCGGGAATGGTCCCCCAGGTCCTTATCAGAGAGGATCAAGCGAATGCAGTGGGACCTGCCACCATCCACCCTGGGAGGCAAAGACAACTTTAGGTCTTAGCGTGTAGTGACAGTGAGAAAAGAGTCTGTTGTCCCGGTTACCAAACTCTTGCAGCGTTCTCATCAAAAACCCAGAAGCGGTTGTCAGTCACAAGATAGTTTTATTTACTTTCAGGAAGTAAAGGAGACGGGATTCATATACAAACCTCTGTCTCCTAGAAGGGAGGCTTAGCCACTGCTTATATACACTGTTTGGTTAATTACACACTGATTTCTTCTTTGCAGTTGACTACCTTTATCTGGTTGGATTCCTGTCAAGTTCATCCTGTTTACAGCTGTTCTGCAAAATACTGTGCTACATCTTAACATTTAGCAAGAATAACATTTACTAATAAGATTTAGAACTGCCCAGACCTTGAGACTCTTGTCCTAATAACATCCCTACAGGGAGAAGGAAAAAACAAAACATGGTAACAGAATTACCCTTTGCTCAAACCAAATTAACTTTGTTGTCCTAGAGAAAAGTTCCTGCTTGTCTTTGTGAAGTGTGCTTGTTTTATCAGAGATTAAGAAAATTGAAGGTGATAAACCACAGTTGCCACTTGGGGAGCCTAATCTGAATTGAGTAGTCCACCTGACCCTGCTTCATGGAGCCTCCAGACCCTTCCACCAACAGCAGGGCACAGTCAGCTAAAAATAGACATCTGACTGGTGTCTTGAGCTTCAAGAACAAACAAAATGAAAAGTCCTTCCCTAGTGAGATGGGGTGTGGTCACCAGCCAGGGTCGTTTAAGGATGGGGCAGGTAAGGTAGAGGGGAACCCCAGGGAGTGAGAGATTCAGCCAGTAGGAGGATGTCATCTTAATAGTTTTCAACAAAACAACATGATTATGAGTGTGAAGGTAACTATGGCAACCTGTAAGACCAATGCCGATGCCTGGAGAGCACAGTCTGCCCTGCATTTCACCAAAGGGAATAGAAACCACCTGGCCAAATGCGAGGAACAAATAGAAGGTGCTGCAGAAAAATCAGAGATGCAGAGGCCAGAGAAAAGGCCAGTGATTTCATGAGTATTTGTGGAGAGGGGATTATATCGTATTTTCCAGTCAGCTGAAAAATTAACCTAGATTTTGCTGGCAGCAGGGGTTGGTCCCCCAACTGTTAATTCTCTGTCCAAAATCTTTCCGCAGACACCAGTCATTTCTGCCTGGAGCTCTACCAAGTTTTAAACCAGCATTTTGAGACCAACCTTGTGGAAGTTGGCACAAGTGGAGCCATTTTAAAATGGCCATTCCAGAGGTCTTACCTGTGCGTCTTACTGCTTGAACCTTTGGAATGTTTGAACTGTGCAAAATAACCTTTGGATTGGGCCAAAAGAGCATTGTCTTCCAAACAATTGTTTGTGAAGTTAACAAGAAAGCATGCCTCCTGACTATACAACTGGAAGCTGAAGACATTCTTTAGAATTAGTAAACAGCCATGTGTGGCTAAAGACTAATTTAGCTTCTTAGCACTAATACAAATTCCTTCTTTCTGTTCATGTAATTATTTCCCTGTCTTTTTTCGTAAAACCCCCTTGCCTCCAGTCCCATTATTGGAATACTGTTTAAGTTTCTGCATGAATCAGTGCTTCTGGAATAGCTATCCTTTGATCCCAAATAAATGATTGTTGCTTCTCATTGTGGCTTTTTATTTTCAGATTAACAACCTCAAAAACTTAGGTTTGCCTGTATTCTTTTATTAACCACCTAAAGTTTTATATAAACTACTAGAAATCCTCCTATATGTATCCTAAGGGTGAATTAAACTTTCAAAAAGGTAACTGGAGCATCACTTGGACCTAAACTATGAACTCAAAGGTGTTTGGGTCAAAGAAGAATATAAAAATATTCAGCTATCACACCTTCTGCACTCACATCCAAACTCTGCATTTTTGTTGAGTATGTATATTCTTTTTAAGCCCCAAAGGAAATGTATTATGCTACTATCCTATGTAAATTAATATAATTTAATTATATGTTTAAAAATTTTTTTACAAAGCTTTCAAAGCACTGGTTTTAAAATATTGCTTAAGATGACCCTATATCATATGCTTTGTTCAGTAAGATAATTTTCTTTTTCTTTTTTTAAGATTTTACTTATTTATTTTTAGAGATAGAGGAATGTAGGGAGAAAGGGGGAGAAACATCAATGTGCAGTTGCCTCTGATGCACCCCCAACTGGGGACCTGGTCTGCAACCGAGGCATGTGCCCTAACTGGGAATTGAACCTGTGACCCTTTGATTTGCAGGCCAGCACTCAGTCCACTGAGCCACACCAGTCAGGGCTCTCTCTCTTTTTAAAAAAAATCATATTTTATTAATTATGCTATTACAGTTGTCCCAATTTTCCCCCTTTGCCTCCCTCCACTCCTATTCTCTCTTAAGTTTGGGGTTAAACACACACACACACACACACACACACACCCCACTTCCTGTGGTCCAGGACATTCCAAGTTATTTAACTACATTAAAATTAAAATTTCTGTCCTGGTGGGGTAGCCCAGTCAGTTAGAACATTGTCCCAATACACCAAGGTTGTGGGTTTGATCCCTCATCAGGGCACATACAAGAAGCAACCAACGAATGCATAAATAAATGAAACAAATTGATGTTTCTCTCTCTCCCTCAAATCAATAAATAAAATTTCAAAAAATTAAAAATTATGTTTAGCAAAAGGCACTATAAAAAATTGAGGACAAACCACAAACTGGGAAATCATTTAATTCATAATGAATTAGTAACCAGAATACATAGTTTCCTACTCATTAAACAAGAAAGACAAGCCACCTACAAGCAGAGGATAATGGCTACCTTTGGAGAGGGTGGAGGGACTGGGGTGAGGTGTACGTAGAAGGGGATGCCTTATGGCTTCAGTTACGTTAGTAATATTTATTTCTTCAGGTGTCTTGTAGGTACCAAGGTGTTTGCTATTTTACTTGTATACTTTTGCTATGTATAAAATATTTCATAATGCATTTTGATGAGTTAAAAGAAACGCCCCACAAACTGTTTCATTTGGTGCTCCAAAGTTATATTATAGTTTTAGATGCTCACTTTTTAATGGAAACAAGTGAAGATTCCAATATCTATCTTCTTGAATATTGAAATGATGAATATGTTTGTCTAGCAAGATCTGGTCTATGTGAATCTTGCATATATGACCAGACTCTTAAGTCTCTCTGGATGGATCATCTGATGGTGGGATAAACTTTCACCCACTTTCATTGACAAATTATAGTAGCTTTAGTTATTTTCAATACTCTTGTCCTCCAACCTTTAAACTACAGTTAAGTGGCTAACACACCACTGTATTACAGTATGAGCGTATTCTGAATCTGACTATATACACTTACTTTTATCCTTGTATTGCATATTTTATGTGTTTTTATGTTACTAGTTAGCATCCCTTCATTTCAGCTTGAAGAAGTCCTTTTAGCATTTCTTACAGGGCAAGTGTGGTGTGCTCCCTCAGCTTTTGCTTGTTTGGGAACTTTGATTTCTCCTTAGTTTCTGAAGCGAAACTTTGTTGGAAAGAGTAATCTTGACCAGCAGTTCTTTCTTTGGGCACTTTGAATATTTCATCCCACTCACTCCTGGCCTGTGAGGTTTCTGCTGAGAAATCTGAGGAAGGCTTTATGGGGATAGCTTATAAATGACAAGACTCTCTTCTCTCTGCTTCTAAGATTTTATCTGCCTTTGATTTTTGACAGTTTCATTATGTGTCTTTGAGAGGATTTCTTTAAGTTGTGTTTGCTTGTTGACTTAGGAGCTTCATGAACTTGAATGTCCAAATCTCTCCCCTGATTTGGGAAGTTCTCAGTCAATATTTATTTAAATAAGCTTTCTGTCCCTGTTTCCCTCTTGTCTCCTTCTGGACCTCCGATAATTTGCAAATTGTTCTTTTTGTTAGTACGCCATAGATCACATAAGGATTTCTTTTTCCTTTGTTCCCTTCTAACTGTAATATTTAAAAGCTCTTGTTTTCTAACTCACAGATTCTTATTTATTTTATTTTATTTTTTAGAGAGAGGGGGAGGGGGAAAACATCAATGTGCAAGAGAAACATCCATTAGTTGTCTCTTACGCGCTCCCAACTG